TGTGTGTGTGTGTGTGTGTGTGTGTGTGTGTGTGTGTGTGTGTGTGTGTGTGTGTGTGTGTGTGTGTGTGTGTGTGTGTGTGTGTGTGTGTGTGTGTGTGTATGTGTGTGTGTGTGTGCGTGGATGGGCGTGTGTGCGTGCTTTCTTCTCTCTGACTTGCACAGGCTGCAACACCTGGGCTTGGAAAGGCGTGTCACATACAGGCGTAGATGGGCAAGCGGGTCATCTCCTGGCTCGGGGTCCTCTTTTGCAGCCGTGGCATCCTGCTCAAAGTTGTAATTGGTCTGGCGCGCTGGAAGACGTCGAGCAGTAGGCTCTTCAAGCTCCACCTTGACCTCCGATCTCACCATGCTGTCGGGGTTGAAAAGATCGGCTTGGTCAGCCCGTGTCTGTATGCGGGGCGAAGAATTGGGGAGCAGCTCGTCTAGGACAAGGGGCGGTAGAGGGATGGCCTTTCGTTCCAGGCTTGACCGGCGCCGCCTCAGGACGGGCCTCTGGGAATCCAAAATTGCACAAAGGCCAATCATGAGAGCGGTTGGGCAAGGTCACGGGACACACGTTGTGCTCCGTGAAGGCGGTGGCCTTACCGGACCAAAGGTGTCGGGCGCAGCAACTTCCTAGAGGCACAACAGGCAGTAGGGCCAGGCATGAAAGAGAGACACCTGGAGACCACAGAAGCACAGAACCCCCGGGCTCGAAGTCGATCGCGCTCTGGCATGTCAAGTGTCAAGTCCAGCCAAACGACTGTCAAAAAATACCGTCAAGTGTTGAGGAGAAGGAAGGTCTGGAAGGGGGCTGGTCACCAGCGTCCAGAGTTGCTGCAGAGCCAATGATTCCGTTGTTGCTGCTCCACACTGGTCGAGCAAGGCGCGAATTTCATCGAGCCTTCGCTCCTGCCGGGCCGCCAGTCGCTTGTACCTGCAGGCCAGATGTTCAGATAAAATGACCAGGGTTCAGCATCAGAAAATCTACGCATGAAACGATTGCATGTCGCAAAATTTGCCCTTCACAACTCGACACCACACGTACTGTCGATACTTGCGCGTCGTGCTAGGTGCCGCCGCCATCTCATCCGGTGACCATGCTCGGAAAAAAAAAAAATGAAAAAAAATGGAAAAAATGAAAAACTCCAACCAAAGCAAGCAGACAAAACGGTTTGAAACGGTCTCTCTCTCGTTCTTGATTTTCTTCTGACAATTTGTTGGCTGGCGATTTGTCAGACATTTTTTGATGACACCAACAGTTCACGCTCTCTTCTGAACGCTGAGCGCCGAGGGCGGCGGTGGCGGCGGCGACGGTGGCGGCGGTGCTTGTGGTTGATTGAAAGGCAGTAAGGCCAATTAAAACTGTTGGTGATGGAGCACGAGGTGTGGAGTCAGGTGCAGGAGGAGCTTGAGGCGCTGTCGGTGATTGCAGCACCAGGGGAGCTGGAATATGATCAGGAAGCGCTGCAAGCGCTGCATGGAGCAGCCGGGGCAGCCTCGGGAGCCGCACTCGTGGTGGAGCTGCACGTCTCCGGAACCGTGTCCGGATTTCGAGCCTCTGCCATTGCTAGTCTCACACCCACTTACCCGGCCCACTTGCCAGAAATCACGCTCCGCTGCACGGGCCACAGTCGGGCGCAGCTAGAAGCCCACGGGGCCACACTACGCGACTTTCTGCAGCCCCTGGCCGGCGACGTTGTCCTCTTCTCAGTATACCAGTGGCTCCAAGAGCAAATCCCGGATTGGGAGAGCGACTTTGAAGCCCACCGCGCTGGAGTAGCCTCAAACACCTCAAACCCCAATGTCTCAGCACCCGATGGAGTCAACGCGCCGGCCTCGCACGTTTTTATGCGCCAGTACATTTACTTTCACCACATTTACAATACGTCCAAACGACGCGACATTGTGGGCTGGGCCGATGAATTACGCCTCTGTGGCTTTAGTGTTATTGGCAAGCCCGGTCTGGTGTGCGTTGAGGGGCCTGAGGCTGCCGTCACCGACTACGTCAGTCGATTGCGCCGGCTCCCGTGGCAGAAAATGCAAGTCAAAGTGACCGATCGCGTCGAGGGCCTGGGTGGCCCGGACGAGGTGGCCGCTTGCTGCGCCTTTCCCCTTCTCAACGAGCTGCATACCGACACACATGGCAACCGAGGCAACCACGCCAACATGGGCGAGGTGCGCGCTTTTCTGGCCCAGCACGGGCAGGAGCATGTCTTCACCGACCTCTTTGGGCTGGCCGCCCCGTAGCCTTTTATCCTAGGAGGTCACAACCAGCAGAGCTGGAACATGCCTAATTGATCTCGAGCCTAAGTTGGTCGTTCAAAAGTGTGGGTTTGGGGCAAACTGATTTTCCCCCAAGGGCCGCCTTGTGGTAGCAGAGTAAATTGAATCAATGGCAAAACGAGCTTTCACCACACACGAGCCTTGCACGGAGCGCCTTTGCACTGGTAGCACATCACCACAACGGTGGACACCAACCGACAAACGAAACGACAATCAGGCCTACCAAAAGGAGAAAAGTACGACCGAGAAAACAGACAAGCGATGGTGGGGACGGTTATCCATAGCTTTACACCGAGGTCTCAAATTCTTCGTGCGCTGGGGGTGGAAAATATTTTGCTTGCTGCTTGTTCGAGCGCAAATGCTTGTCCAATAACGAGAAGACCTGCTGGTGCAGGCCGCGACGTCGCTCCGCATTGGCCACAAACTTGGAAGGTGTCTACGCCACCACGCAGCGTGCAAGCCAAATCATTGGTGAGCAGGCATTCTTCCGATACGGTGAGCAGGCATTCTTTCGATCCAGACTCAGCCCAAAAGCACAACAACAACAACAACAACGTGGACATGGTGGGACTGCTTACAATGCCATCCTGAGGTGTATCGTTCTGGTCCATTTCAAAGGCCTTGGCAATGTGGTTGGAAAAGTCAAATGCCTCGAACCTGCCGTCATCACACAACATTAGCCTGATCCACCATCTTCTCTCACACACGCAAAGCAAAAACAAAGCAAAGGAAGGAAAAAAAAAAAAAAAAACGCGCGGAGGGGGCTCCAAAGCGACCTACGCACCGGTGTTGCTGGCCTAAGAGGGCAATGAGGACCGCGCCGGACCAGTAGAGACCATCACCAAAGAATTCCGTGGTTTGGTCCTTGCCGGCCAAGGCCGAACCCATGTTAATGGTGTACAAGATGGCCGACCAAAGGCGATGAAACTGGTTGCACTCGTCAATGTCCATGACGCCGTTGGCGGGCTCGGGGCCAAACCACACCTGCTGGCCCTCGTCGCAGGCCTTCAGCATGGCCTTAACCTTGTCCAAGACACCCTGAAACATGCTTAGCCCCATGCACAGACGCTCACGCGTCAGTGTGTCAGCCTGCAAGGCCAGTTGCTGCTGCTCCGGGGTGCCCGCGCGCTTGATCACCTCCATGTAAAACATGGAGCTGGCCTCTTGCATCACGCGTCGGCGCTTCTCCTCGGCATTTTCGCCCTCGCGTACAATGACGGGCGGCTTGCCTTGGAATGGCTTGGCGCATGCCAAATCCTGGACCTCCTCCAGATGCAAAGTCTCTTCAAACAAGTGGAAAATGATAAAGGCGTTGCCCACTTCCCGGAAGCTATGGAACACCTCCGTCTGCAGATCAGGGTATGTCCTGAAAGAGCAAGCCCGCAATTCATCAACACAACGTACATGGACAGCCCGCTCATCGTGAGATCAGGACACATGCAGCAGAGGCGAGGCAAGAACGGCAAAGGGGAAGCTCGCGAGGGTAGTACCAAAACACACGATCGAGAAGCACAAGGGAACATACATGAGACCCTGCAACTGAAGCTTGTAGAAGCCAAAGGTACCCTGGGTGCCATAGTCTAACAAGGGCAGCTTCGCCACCTTGGGCATGCCATCCAGCAGGTTGATGACGTAGGGCGTCAACAAATCCCGAATCTACCCCATGTTCCACCCACATTGTTGCATGAGCGTCATACGAAGCGCAAGGTGCTACGGACAGAAACGCGTGACGACAAATAAACGAGAGCACGTACATTGCGGGTGACAATGTCGATCATCTCGCCCACACACATGGCCACACCACCATAGCCCAAGAGGCGCACTGCACAGCTAAAGTGCTCGCGTCCCACGTAGCCCTTGTACAGCTCGAGCATAGCGCTATATGCCTGGTTCATGGCCTGTCGTGTCCACCAAACGCAAATTGCGGCGCGGCACAAATGCATTGCGATATAAGGATCAAAATCCAGCGCGAACGACCGACCAGGAAGGCGGCGGGGGGCGCGGTAGCAAGCCATATTGGCAAAGCAGTACGTACCCGATTGCCAAAGCGCGAGGCACTGGGCATGCTCATGTGATTCTCGCGCTGCACACCGTCGGCAAACACCGGCGCGTGCACGGGACGCACAAAACGCCGCGTGGCCGTGTTGTAACAGTAATTGGGAATGACGTCCAAGCACAGCTCGGAAAACACGTGCAGGCGAATCTTGCCCAGGCCAGTAGCCGAGTCGTTGGCCTCGGCATAGAGCTCATCAAAGGGATCCAGGCTCAAGTGATGCGACAACAGCTGGTGCGTCAAGCGATTGTTCTCGATCGTCATTTCAAGCTCCTGCAATGACACATCATATGGCACTTATAAAAAGCTATAAAAGCAACTTCGGCTCTGGTAGGATGGTCAAACGAATGCGCCCACGTACAATGATGGCCGACAAGTCCTGTGATTCAAAGCGCTGGATGGCTTGCGTCATCGCATCGCGAAGGGCCACGTTGAGACGCTGGGTAAGGAGCTTGTGCAGGTCCACGGACCGGCCCAGTAGTTGCACGTGGCGCTGGCGCAACAGAGCGGAGAACCGATCCGGAGGTGCAAACGGGATGGACACCTTGCGCTGCTCGGCCAAGTTGCGGAAGTCCTTGTCCAACTGCATGCTGTCAAAGCGTATCATATCGCCATGAGAGCCAGGACAACAGACGAGGGCAAAGAGTCAAGCCTTGCGCGACGTGATAAATGTTTACTAACCCAGCTGCCACGGTCTTGAAATGTTGGAAGATGTGAGCATTGAGCTTGAAAACAAGCTGATCAAATGCCAGATCCGCCTAACAGCAGCCAAGGGCAGACACAAAGAAATGAGGAAGAGAGAGACACGAGAGAATCAATACAAAGGTAGCCCAGCGGTGAGGCTGTTTGTGGTGTCCAGATATGCGCCCTTCAAATCGCTCGAGCACAAGTCGGAGACTTTTGCGCGCATGCGTCACATCAACGACGGCACGAACCTCGGCTTCCACTTCGTCGTAGAGGAACTGCTTTTTGAAATGCTCGAGTGCAAAGTTGGCCGCGTCGTTGTACAAGTCGAGCGGGAAGAGAATGTACTCCATCAAGTTGGCGTGCGGGGTACGCAGCACGTGATCCACCAGAATCCAGGGCAGGGACATCTCAATCGGAAACTGCATGCGCAGAAGGGCGGGGCGGACGTGGAAACGTAGAGTGAGCGGAGTGTCGGGATGCCCTTGTGACATTGCCAAAAACACGTTCTTCCAAAAGACAAAGTAAAGCTAGGACCGACCTGAACTCGCGCGCCTTGCGTCAGCTCGAGATAGAACTCACGGTACCAGAGCTGCGACAAATCAGCCGAGCGCTGCAGCGTGGCTGTACCCAGGTCATGTGCAGAGCGGCACGGGCGTTGCAAGGAAGCAGAGCAGTGTGGCCAATGAATGCGAGTGAACACGAGGCTCTGCTGAGCGGAGCGTTGCAAAGAGAGGTGGGCAGAGCTCAAGAACGAGTCGTGAAGCAGCACCGCAACGCGTACCGTTGAAGTTGAGAAGGTACTCAAAGTAGAAGCTACGCTCATACATGTCCTGCATGCCTGGATAGTACTTGGGGTCGAGCTCCGACTTGACGCTCTTTTTCTTGTCATCCGCGCACAGTGACTCCAGCATGGTACGAAACATGTACAACTGTGTGGAGCTGAGCCCGACACGACGTGCCTGCACCTCGGGACGCTTCCAGTTTTGATCCTTCTCACCCTTGAGATAGGGGTCGTCTTGGGGCTCTTGGCCGGTGGACCAGTCGGTACATGTGTTGCGCATGCCCATGAGCACGCTGCAACAGCAAGAAAAAACGTGCCGGAGGGGATGGTGAGGCATGGTACGTGGCAACGGGGCAACACGCAAGCCGAGCAGGAGAATTGGGCCACAAGAGGCAAGTAAGAGCAGACGGCATACGCACGTCTTGGCACGTGGCTTTTTCTTCTTGATGGCGTGGCGAATCATGTCGCGGACTTTGTCCTGCAAGAACATTTGCACCGAGAGATGAATGTCGCGCACGATACCCTCATTGAGGACACCCTCGAGGCTCCACATGTGACGCAGCACATCCTTGATCATGGCCACAATCTATGATGACGCGAGCAAAAGCGCCGGGGGGCGAGCAAATGAGGCGCATTGTGGTCTGCAGAACGCCCGCGGCCGATAGAGTCCAATAGGAGGGGGGCGATGGTCTTGATATAACGCACCTTGACCAGCGCCGTCTTTTCACGCGAGGTATAATTGTAACGAGTGGCCTTCTCATAGTCCTCGGCGTCAGGCGGGCACTCCTTGTTGAGGTACTGATTTGTCGGGTTGGCAAGCTTCCACACGTGAAGCTCACGGATGGTGCCGGTCCAGCGGGAAACGAGCTTGAGGCCTTGCAGAGCAATGTCCGTTGGAGACATGCCACTGCTGTTGACAGAGTCGCCCTTGGAGGTGACGGTGGTGAAGAGGGCCAAGCGAGCGAGATAGGAGTCGCGCTCCTGCTCAAAGCCATCCAGCTTGTCGCAGATGTTGTACTGCTTCTCGGTGTGATCCAGATTGTTGGCGTCATACGCAGCCGACCACCTGGAACGATCGAAATGGGGGCTCGTTTCGAAGAAGCTGATCAGCTTCACATGCATGTCGCCATACAGCGGGACAACGGGTAGGTCCTAAAGCGCACGCAAAGCCGACGAGGGTGCGACAAGGGTGAGACGGGAGCCTGGCTCGCACTCGCGAGATTGACGAGTCGGTGTGCAGGGGCCGGTTGAGGCACAGAGACTGACTTTGAGGGCCATGTCGAAGCGGTGGATGGAACCTTTCTTGGTGCGATAGAAGCTCGCTTTCTCGTCAGGGTCATCCATCAGGAAAGCACAAAAAGCAATGACCTTGAGGAGCGTGTGCTTTTCCGAGGGCAGGACATACTGGCCCTTTTCATACATTGTGACGCAGTGCAGTGCAATTTCATAGAGAACGTCAACATAGTTGTCAACGGCACGCAATTGCTGGACCAGCTCTTGCGTCAGCGAGTCTTGCGTGGCCAGGAAGAAAGCCATTTTATGGCTTTGCGACACATCCTCCGGATTCAGATCCTTGCCCTTGTTCAGAAACCCATGGGCACTGTGCAGAAAGAAGACGTGACGCGTGTGAGCTGGCGGCACAGATAAGACACATGGGAACACAGTCCAATGAGGAACAAGGAACGGAGGGGGGGCGAGAAAAGATAACGAACCGGTTGTAGAAGGAAAAATCGTTGTTGAGGCAGGCCTTGACGTTCTTGAGCGCGTTGAGGACGGCGAACATGTTGAGCATGCGTGCCAGAGTGAGCTTGGTGGTCTCGGAGATGAAGGACTTGAGCTTTTCTGGATGGGCCAGCTTCTTGATTTCCTCGCAGAAACGGCTCATGGCCTCGCGCTGAAAGTCGTAGAAGGATTTGAGCTTGTTAATCTCGGGCTCAAGCACTTCAACCGTCTTTTCATAAATCTCTGTGCGATTGGCCTGATCATTGGACTTGACAGCAGGGATGGAGCGCGAGCAAGAGCGCCAGGTATAGAGCATGCCTGCAAAACGCTCGCCCTCTTCCAGATATTGGTTCTGTTGTAGCGTCGGCCGAAAGGGGGTGAGTATGCCGCCAGTTCGCTCGTCGCGTCAAAGGAGTCCCGGAAAGAAATTAGGGGTGCGGGTTCAACCAGATCCAGGCCACGCACCAAGGTGGCCAAAGATTGAGCCTCTTCGACATATTTGGCAATGCCGGCAATGAAAGCTTCGCGATCCTGAAAATTCGTGTCAAAGTCCACCTCATAGTTGATGGTGGCGGCCGCGGCTTCAATGTGAGGCTGGTCATCTGGCAGCCGAAGCTGCGACAGGCTCATGACATTTTGAATGGCACCACCAAGGTCCGTCATGGTGTAACGGTGCTGGAGATCGATAGATCACGCGCCAACCACCCGTTCCACGCCCCGACAACCGCCACACACACACACACACGCCGCAGTCCTGATGACTGACACTGAACTAAACAGCATCAAACCAGAAGATGAGCAGAGCCAAGCAGCCCAAAAATCGCCAATCCCCGCCGTCACTCACGGCGCGGCCCTCGGCCAGTGTCTCTGCCCGTGTAACCCCTCCCTGTCTGTGCACTGATGAGCTAGCGAGCGAGGGTGCCCTGTATGCATGTGTGTGTGTGTGTGTGTGTGTGTGCTTGTCTTACCCAGCGTCGTCGCCGTTCGCGTCAGAGAGAGCGCGCGTGAGAGAGAGCGCTCGGCCTTGAGGCAACTACCAGCTAAATCCCAACCAAAACCAGAGATGGGCAACAGCTCGGAAAACAACAACTGGATCCAACTTCCCCTCCCCTCCCCCTTCCATGCTACCATCTGTCAGTGCTCGACGAGTCTTCTTTTGTTTGAGTTGGAGTTGGTCAAGATAGGTGTTGACAACAGCTGTTCCAAAGTAGCCCTGGGCTCGGCAGTTTGGGTGTTGAGATGTTGAGAGCTAAGAGGAGCAACAGTTGCTTGGCAAACACAACGTCTGATTCGGACTGCTCTCCTTTGAGAGAAGAAGCGAATCACGGGTCGTAAGTGCGTTCCGTGCACTTCTCTGCATGCGACAACCTCTCTCTCTCTCTCCCTCTTTCTCTCTCTCTCCACACACACACACACATAACGCCACACACACGAAGTGAAGTGATCGCAACAATTCGTGTGCTTCGTACCTCTTTGTCTTTTTTTGTGATCACATTCGGACTCATTTTTTCTTTCCTTTTGTGGAAACCCAAGCACATCGTGGCGTTTCGCGTTCGGGTGTGCGGAGAAAGATGGCGGTGTGCGCGAATTGCCAGAAGCCACTTAAGGCGAAAGGTTACAGCACGCTCGGCAAAGTCGGCATTGGGCTTGGGATTGTAGGAGCGGCTGTAGCTCTTCCGGCCGTTGGTTTGATGGCTGCAGGCTTTGGAAGTGCGGGCATTGTGGGAGGATCTTTGGCCGCTGGCGTTCAAGCATCGATCGGCAACGTGGCTGCAGGTTCCGCTTTTGCGTTTTGTCAGAGTCTTGGTGCGACTGGTGTGCTTTCTACTGCTGCTGCGGCTGGCGGTGCTACCGCAGCTGTCGGTGCTACCGCAGCTGCCGGTGCTACCATGTCTGGCGATGGTGGTGACAAGAGCAGCGATGACAATAAGGGCGACAGTTGCAGCGATGGCGGTGATGGTGGTGATGGCAATGGCGTTGATGGCAATGACGGCGCGGCTGACCGTTGCAAGGACGCCTCGGACGACGAGCAGCCTGTTCAGCTTTGCGCTGCTTGCTTGAAAAGTTTAAAAGAGGGTGAAAAAAAAGACAGTACAATTAAAGCGTAGGGTTACGAGCCCGTCGTCACCCATCTCAAGGTTTTTGTGTGAGAATGTGCAAAATTGATGTCAAGCTAAATTGCTACCATTCGACGTCGTTGCCCACTGCCAAACACGCACATGACACTATTTACCAAAATGATGGCAAGGAAGCAATTCCTACAAAGACCGGAAGCGATAAAAGTTTGGCTTTAAGAAGGGGAAAACTTGTTACGAGGACTTGAGGTGGGTCGAGGTCATCTTGTAGATGATCGAGTCGTATCCAGGGTTCATGTAGGCGAGGCTGCAGCACGTGGCGAGAAGGCTGATGAAGATGAGGATACCGAGGCCGAGGATGATGTTGGTGGCCACGGAGAAGTCACCGGCTATAATTAAACGTCATTATGATAAGGGATGGGTTGCAAAACAAGAAAAATATGAGGATGGCACGAGCAGGACAAAAAAGACGGGGGGGATTCAAGCCGCCAGCGTAGTATGACAAAGTGACGTGCGCCTTTCCTTGACGACAAATGGGGACTTACACTCGTAGCAATGGTTGCCAATCATGTCAAAGCCATCCTGGCAGGCAGCGCACACGGCGGCACCCGGTTGGAGACGATCGGTGGCGTTACAGTCGCAGGGGATATAGGCGCAGTCAAAGCAGTCCTATCGTGTTGGGATTCATGTCGGTGGCGTGTGCGGTCGTAAGACGTTGTGCCTCTGGTCACGTGGAGGACTTCAATATGCAGGGCATGACCGTACCTTTTGCTTATCCGAGCACGAGACGGAGCATCGAGTGTCAACATCGTAAGGCTTTCCATCGATATCCCGGTTGCAGTAGCAGGTGTAGGTCTATATTGTGCGACAGGATATCAACAAATGGTCTCAGGTCAACGCACACACGGGAACGCGCAAAGGCAGACATGTCTCCAGAGTAAATAAAACGTCACAAGCCAAAGGACCCCGTACCTCGCAGTATTCCACAAATTGGGAATCCAGAGTGTTGATCTTCAGGTTCACGTTTGAAGGAATGGGGTCGGCAGCCACATCACGACGGGCGCTATTCAAAACAGAAAAATAGATGGTAAGAGAGACAGAGAGTCAGAGAGTCAGACACATGTATGAGCATGACGTATGTTGAGACTGAGTAAGGGTCGGAAAGACAGCATGGAAACACATGGGTTCGATACAGTACCGGATGGAGGAGGAAGCAGCAAAAGCAGGGGCCTGAACAATGGTGGTCATGACGAGGGCATCACCGTTGGCGGCGTCCTTGGCACGTTGAAGAACCACTTGCTTAAACAGAGCGACGAGCTGGACAGCAATCTGAGCCTCGGCGCTGTCAGCACCGGTGGCGCGGATCACATTGGCAAGCTGGGTGACGCGGAGGACGGCCATAGACTTGGCATCGGCCGAAGGCTGATACGAGGCCAGGAGACCAGTCAGTTCCAGAGCCAGCTCCTGAACAATCTTGTTGGAGAGGTCCATGTCCAAGGTGGTGCCCCAGAGACTGGCATCAACCTGGACAGCCTGCACAAAGCAAGGGCCGAAGCGAGGAATGAATCCAACGACGACAAAAGGCGTTCTACTGCTGCTTTGGATGATCAGGGGAATAGGGCGGAGGGCAAGGTCAACGAGGCACACGCACCGGTTGGGTGAAGCTGTAGATCTCGCACTGAGCATGCTCGGCAGCGAGGGGCAAAATGTCATCCGTCATGTCAGCTGCCAAAAAGTCAGCGCTCTCGGTGGCAGTCATCACTTCGACGGCGTTGTTGCCGGCGAGCTGTGGCAGGTCTAAGGCATTATGAAGCGTGAGGCGACACATTCGATACAAGGGAATTGGTTCTCTTCGGGGTGGATACCGTACCAGTGTAGGCGCCGTCAATGACAAAGAGAACGGCACTTTGAGTGCGCTTGAACGGATGGGTAGGGGCGAGACCCTGCCAGGCAGGTTGCTGTGGTGCAGAAAGCAAGGTCGTTGAGGACACAGACAGGAACACAGACAGGTGGGTTGCGGCAAGTTGGGGTGCGAATGGCTGTGGGGCCTGCCGATGTTCTCAACAAGTCTGTTGTTTCACATCCACTCGCAGAAACTAACCGTGTTCACACCAACGGCAGCCAAAAGAACATTGGCCAGGTCGGAGGAGGACATGGCCGCTCCAGAAGGAAGGGTTTGGAGAGTACCTATCAAAACCGAAGATGGACCAAATGAGAACCCGCGGGCAAGGAACATGGCTCGGGTGCATTCTGAGAGCGTATAAATCGGACTGAAACAAGAAGCGGAGCGCACTCGGGACATGGTCGAAGCTGACGGTCGACGGGGGCATAATCTGCGCACAAGGCGTTGCCGCGTGAGACGGTGAAGTTTGCGAGTGCGTGTCACGTCAGCGAGAGGCCCCAAGGAAGTTTCTGATGAGACAAAGGGTAATGGTGGCCGAAACATTGGCATGGGTGGTTCAAGATGAAACATACCGCCGAGAGGGTGCAAGCAGCAGCCAGCAGCAGCGCTGCCATGGCCATGGTTGGAAGGCTGGATGCCATTTTCCTCGTCAACACCAAGCCAAGCAAGAGGTCAAGCCAACAAGAAAGAAATGGGTGAGGGCTTGGAGCAAAGCTTGTTGTTTTGTCTTACTCCAAATCCATGCGTGATACGAATGGTGTGGGGAGTGAGAGCCATTTTTTTCTGGCTTGCAAGCCAATTTGGGTATGTTCATTTTCCCGCCAGAAACGACGCTACCAGCTGTCAATGCCATCTTGTCCAGCAACCAAGTGTTGTTCCAGCTGTCAGAAAGAGAGAGAGAGAGAGAGAGAGAGTCCAGATCATGCCCCAAGAGGAATTTAACGTTAGATCGAAGTAAGTCCACTCAGCTGGTTCTTGTGTCCTGCATGTGGCTGTTGTTGTGTAATCGCTTCCTTGTCTTCAACAGCTTTCAGTCAGACTTTTCTCTCTCTCTCTCTCTCTCTCTCTCTCTCTCTCTCTCTCTCTCTCTTCTTTTCTTTTTTTTTCTTGTTGTTGTTGTTGTGCCCGCGCGCACGGACAGACACAGTGCCGGTTGCTGAGCGGTTGGCATTGGTTGGACGCCGTATCGTCCGCGTGCGTGTGCGAAGAGTGCGGAGGTGTATGCGCACTGGTTGAGAGCAAAGTTGTGGTCGGGTGTTGCTATTCCTGGCGGCGCTGCGTGGGGCTACCCACCTGCAGCGTCGATTTGAGGGGGCGGCGACATGACGACGCGACAGACCTTGCATGAGTATAAGCATGCGCCGGGAAATCAGACTTGCGCCGATTGCGGCGTGGCTGGTGCGTCTCGTTTTATTCCCACTGCTGCGCTCACAGACGGTGGCGTGTCACCCATCCACCGCCTCTGCCTGTCCTCTCTGCGCTGTAACTCATCAACGCCGTGGCCGGCGCTGCGCCGCAGACACCAGCTGGGCCTCGACGACGCTAGGCATCTTCATCTGTGTCGACTGCAGCGGCATCCATCGCAGCTTGGGGGTGCAAATTAGCAAGGTGAGACAGGGCCTGATGGGCTTGCATGCATCTGGCTGCATCCGTGACATTTAACTCAGCCTCCCACATTGACGGACATTGCCCTTCCTCTTCGGCTCACCCGCCATCACCGGACCTGCTTGACAGGTCAAGTCCCTGAAGTTGGATCAATGGGCAAGCGATGAAGCCAAGGTATGTTTCCCCTTGGACATGCTTCTGTTTTGCCGTATCGCTCTCAGCCCCAAGCAACGGCTCTCCTAGCTTTGACCATCTTGCTCATGTCACGGGCTTGATGATGCATATAGCAAATGGCCGTAGGCAACTTGCAAAGCAACGAAAAATACGAAGCCTGCGTTCCACGCATCGTGCTTCGGCCTTCGGGCTCATGCCCAACGGTACGCTCTCGTCATGCGATACGCACCGATGCCTGTTTGAGTCGTAACGGTCTTGCCTTGGCTCATCTCCTCATCGTTTCTTGGGGCGCTCGTTCAGCATATTCGAAACAGTTACATCCGGGCCAAGTATTCGGAGCTCTTGTTCACTGATCGGCGAGAGGCAGCCGAAGCACGGGCCCAGCTTTTGTCTGGCTCCCTAGAAGGCCTGCTCCTCAAACAGGGCAAGAGCAATGGAAAGTGGCTCCCTCGCCACGTCGTCCTGGCTGATGGCACCCTCAAGTACGCAGCAAGCGTCATCACATCTAGCCCTACCCCTGCCCTCCCCTTCCTGACTGTCTTCTTCTGTTGGGATTGGCTCCAATGCTTGCAGCGCGAGTCTGATTGACGTTTGACCTTGGCTCTCTTGTAGATATCACGCTAGCGAGGGCGATGCCGAAGAAAAGGGCTCCATTCCCATCCTGCAGGCCCTCTGCACCGTGGTGGTACGTGCACACTTGTCGCGCTCTGCTGCTACCTGTTTCGGACTTTGGCGCCAGCAAGCCTCGCCTGGACCGCCCCGCTTGGCTCATCATGCACCCACACTTCAAAAAAAAAATATTTTGGCCCAGGTCCCCGGCTGTGATCAAGAGTTTGTCTTCAACATTCTCTATGATAACCGCATGTACTACTTCAAGGCAAGCTCAGCCATGGATTACTTTCGCTGGATCACTAGCATTCGGTATGTCTGGCAACTCGATTTGCTCTTCGGCAGCTGCTCATCATCATCACCATCTCATCATCATCATCTCATCACCATCAACTTTGTGTGTTCTCCTCAGGGCCGCCCGTGCCCGAGCCATGGGGTGGGACGGTGAACGCGAGGACCATCCCATGCTAGATAAGGTCTGCCCGATATCCGAAATTGCGCAAGGAAGTTATCCGCTATTGTGGCGATCGGCGTCTCACCTCGCCAACCTCCGCTGCCTCCACACCGATCAGGCGTTACAGCTGTTGGACAGCAAGCGCAGGGAGGGTGTCCTGTCCAAGGCGGGGCCCAACATGCGTGGCATGAAGGCGCGTTACTTTATCCTTCATGAGCGCACACTGGCCTACTTTGGTCGACAGCAGGTGCGCATTGCGACAGCAACTGCCTTGCTGCATTCATTTCTTTTCAACTCGGCAGAACCCTCCCCCCTCCCCCCTTACACACACATACATACATACAAACGCACAAATGAGGCACCGCGTTCAAACTTAGCATGGCGTTTTGCGTGTAGGATGCCGAGGCCAAAGGCGTCATTGTACTTGGCCCTCCAAGTCGTGGCTTTAAGGTGTGTCGCGACAACAGCATTGTCAGCAGTGCCGTCGATGGATGCTGTATCCGCTTGACCACCCCGGATCGTGATTATGCCATTCAAGCAGAGACTGAGGTGAGTGGGTTGCAACATCGTTGCTCATGCAGGGCTGGACCGGCTCTCACGGCTGACCTTCCCATTTGACGTGTATCTAGGAGGAGGCCAAAGCTTGGGAAAACGCCATCTCCACAGCCATCAACACTTTACCCGTTTACTAAGTCTCAATTCTGAGCACCAGACAAACCAGACAGACTGTACCGTTCTCCTTCTGGAGCAGGCGCTTGGCTGCGCATTGTGCCTATCCATGTCAATGTGTCAGTCGAACACGCGGTCGCGCGAGTTGTGACCATGCCCGAGCTACGCTCGGAATTTTGATGGCTGTGGCTTGTATTTTCTCAATTGTAGTACATGTAGCGTCTCTGTGATTCCGTCTAGACTTGAATGCTTCGGCCGACCCTGTGGTCCTGTGCAGACGGGCATTGCTTCATTACACATGGAGGGGAAAGGAAAAAAAAAACCTTGACGATTATTACTCTTGTCAGGCATTTGTAAATGTCGGTCAATTGTAATTGTGTTGCTTGGCGCGGGCTTCGGTCAAACATGGTCCTACGAATCTTGGCTAGCCGCTCCAGCGGCAGCAAGTTCGCCTAACTTCTGCTGTTCAAAACGCCGAGCATTTTTGGGGTTGGCTGGCGACCGCTTCCACTGCTTTTGCAGCCGTTCTTGGAGCTGTCCCTTTTTCAAACCAGGGAACTCGGCCTATTGCACCGTTCACATCGCGGGCCGCACTTGCATGAGCGCCCAACCTCTGCATCCAAGGTCACCCGATGGGCATCAACTCTTTTCTGGGGACGCATCGACACACCTTGAGTTCAGGCAGGACCTGGGCCTCAAATTCGGAAAACGTCATCTTCTCCACCGAGCTGCCCGAAGCTTCTGTGAATGTATAAAAAAAATAAGAGAAAAAAAAAGCCAAAAGGTGACCACACATCATACGCATGGGTATGGGCAACACGTCAAGGGTAAAAAGCGGTTCCTTTCCGCGAGCCGAACAGTGGTCCACTCACCGCCAGAGAGGACACGCAGGGCATCATCCACGTTGGTTGCCGCCCCCTCCATCGAGAGGCGGTTCAGGTTTTCCGTCAAATCGCTCTGCTCGGCCACTGCACCACCTTGCTTTTGACGTTCTTTGGCTGCGGCCAGAGCTGCCTCCTTCTCACGTTTAGCCTGTGTTTGCACCAGTCAGCAAATGCACTGTCAAGCTCAATGCCGCCTCTGTTGTGGCCTGCGAGAGTCAAAGTATAAAGGCACGCTGTTGAGAAGAACGATGCTGCCTCCATGTACCTGATTCTGCTGCAATTGAAACGCCGTCACCTGTGTGCCAGACAAGGCAGGGCACGGGGGAAGCTGTGAGAGAACAGCAACGGGCGCCCAAAAGCCCACCATAAGCACATACCTTTGGGCGGAAAGCCGCATTCTTGTCCTTCTTATTGGCCGACTTGAGCTGTGCATATTTGCTCGTCTGAGCCTCATCCTCAGCGGCGAGACGGCGGTTCTCCGCTCGCTTTGTCAACTCAGCCTCGCGCTTTGAGTCGCGATCCTGCGTGGCAGCAAATCGTTCTTTTTCATCATCATCCCATTGGCTGCTCACCAGTGTGCGTCACCTCAGACGCCAGCAAACAAGCTTGGCCAGGCAGGCCACAGCTCACAGGTTGCTTGAAATCTTGGGGCTACGCACCTCGGCCCGTGAAGCCTTTTTTTGCTGCTTTTCCGTTCCAGCATCACTCCACTTGGCTTCCTGACACAGAGTGCACACGTTGCTGGCTGAGCGGCAACGGGTCTGCAAACTCAACGTGGGACACTGTTGGTTGAGCCTACCTCAGCATGTTGCGCCGCCATGGCCTTGGCCGCACTAAATTACGTTCATCGATATGAATCAGTTTCCCAAGCGACAGGTGGATGATGAGTCATTCCCAACGCTGGCTCCTTGCTTGGTGTCCGTCCAGCGGTGGCAACTTACGCATCTGCTTCCGCTCGACGCTCGCGCGCTGCCAGAGCTTTGGGGTTGCCCTTGGGCGGCATGTTGTTCTCTTGCCGATGAACAGATGGAGATATGGCCTTGACTCTTAACTCACACGCTGCAGCGCTGTTCGTACCGCAAAAATTCGTAAAAGAGAGAGAAAAATGCACCATCATCACATGGTGGAGCCGTTTTGCCTTGGGTTCATAATGTGATTGCGTGTGAGAGGAAATGAGAGCAAAGACTCTAAATTGCATAACGAGATGATTGAAAAAAAAAGTCGAAAAAACGCGAAAACCAAGGTTGTGGTCAAGGTGCTGGCTTGACAGATGGATGAAACCGAATCAAAAGGGCAGTGAGAGCACTAGGATAAAGAGCATCGGTCCACGCACAGGAGCCGAGGAAAATAAGTTAAGCAAAAGAGAAAGGAGCGAGAGAGATGACGAAAACAATAAAAAAAACAGAAGAAGAAAAAGACGCTTTTCCTCTAAATGGTAAAAGGATTGGCCAGCAAATTGTCAACGGCAGCCTCGCGGGCTTGGCCGGGACGACGACTGGCGGTTGCCGAAGCCAGGCCTTCTGGAGTCAAATCAGCACTATGACCTGCAGAATGACGCTTGGGCACTGGTCGCGAAAGCGTCTCATCAACCATGGAACTCGGGCGCAGAGCCAGCGCCCGATTGCCCGTGGCGTAGGCATCCGAACCAAGTGTCGGGGTGGGCGTTGTGGCATGTCGCCCCATCGACTATCGAATCGGCAACAAAACGAGCATGGTTGGCAAGAAAGGCAAACCAAGAACAAAATCCAGAAAAAAAAAAAAGAAGAAAACAACCACAAGAACAAGACAAAAAAAAAAAAAACACGCAAGCGTGCAAAGGGCATTGTGAGTGGATGCGTGGGACAAGAGGTTTAAACTTGGAGCTCACGTCTTTGCATCGGTATGGGAGACATCCAAGCAACGGGACAACGCACCAGCTCCATGTTTTCATCAAGCATGGCCTGGAATTCCTCGAGGCTCAGCGTGCTCTCTCGAGCTAGATTGGCGACGTCCTTGATAGACACTTGCCGATTGTATCGGTCCTTGACTGCTCGCAGCTCGGTGCCACGGTGATCCACAACACGTTCCTGTTTCCGAAACAAAGAAAAGCACTTGATGGCCAGATCATAGATGGTGCGAAGTTCGAGGCCACTCCAGCGCTCCATGGTGGAAGACCAAGGCTGAGGCACACCCGCCAAGGCAAAGGTGCAGCAGGCCATGGCGGCTGCCAGCTTGGCCGGGGGAAACTCGGTGAGAGGGATGGTTAGAATGAGAGCTTCGGCCATGTGCTGGCCCAGAAGAAAGACGGCGGGTGTAGCACCGCCAATCTGGAGAAGGAGATTGAGGTAGTGAAAGGTGGTGGGCCTGATAACGTTGCCCGACACGTCAACAAGGACTTGTCCAATGGTGCGCACAATCTGATCATAGCTGTACATGCTATCAGTCAGCCAAGCCGCTTCGCGGATGGTAATCACGCCCTCCTCAAGGTAGCGGGCAGCCATGACCATGCACGCAATGCCCAGGAGCTGAAGCGTCTTGCGAGTGATGCGGCAATGCTGGAGAAAGCGATCAACCAGATCCATGGCCACAAACAACGTTTCACCACCAAAGGTTTTCAGGTCGGCCACCTCGATGAGCCAATCCATCAGAATAAAGCGCATTTTGCCTTCGCGATCCAAATCAGGTTGCCGCAAGCCCCCTCGGCGAACCGGGGCAGCACCGCGAGCAAAAGCCTCGCGGCTAAAGGCCATGCATTCGTGAGGGGTGCGATTCCCGTAGTCACGGTTGACATAGTTCCCAATCAGTGCTAGATCAGCAAAATCATTGTCCAAGCTGGAAGCCTTGAGGCACAGAGCCATGCGATCCAACGTTGAGAAGTTCTTAGCAAGAGGAGTACAAGAGCCATGGAAAAGACGGGTAGGAGCAACGAGCACCAGTGAGGAGCAGCGAGAGCTAAAACGAGACTGCTAAACGGCGTCGAAGGATTTCAAGGATCAAGTCTCTGAAACTTGTCAACGCCAGGCAACAAGTCAGGGGCACGCACTCACAGCATCAATGCGACCGCAAATATCCACGAGGCGAAGGGCGGCATGGGAGCAGTGGCAGTCGAGGGAAATGCGGTAATAACGCTCGGCCTCGGTCATTTGTGGGTTCTCGGCAAGTTCAAGGGTTCGGCCAACACAGTAGGCAAGTCGACCAATGGTGCACGTTCGCTCGTACTCGCCTCCGGTGAATTCATCCACTTCCTTGCGCAGGAACTTGTAGATCTTGGCCTTGGAGCAGCTGTCGCTGGACCACGGCGGTCGGAAGAGCATCCAAATAAAGGGCGCACACGGCGGCAAGACGGCTTCGGCCTGAATTAACCAGTGGGCTGCCTCCACGTCATTGGCATCGACTACAACCCCCGGAAAATGCATGAGAAGGCACCAAAAAGGTACATCAACCCAGGTTCATTCGAGGAGAAAAGGTGTTGGGGGAAGAGACGGACGCTGTCTCACTTACCACCTTCACCGTAGAGCCGGGCGACGCCAAGCTTGATGGTGGCATGCAGGTTTGAATGGGAAATGGCACTATTGTGCATGTCAAAGACCAGGACAAGAGCACAGCATGTGCATGAGCGCACATCATGCACAACGGGATTTGGCAAGCCGAATGCGGGCGTTGTGCTGATTTGTGATGCGACTGGGCTGGCCAACACGCAAGCAAAAGTTCCAACCGTTGGTAGGCGGGCATGGTCCGAGGAATGGGCCACTCATTGTTGAAAGAGGCATGGCATTGCAGACTTGGCAGTTGGGAAAGACGAGCAAATCGGACGCAAGTCTAGGGCGGCAACTCGGATGAGAACCACACGTGTTTGCGCGCGCCTGCAGAATTGCAGAGCCAGAGGTGAGGAAAAACAAACCTGGGCCAAGACCGAGAGGTCACGGTAGGAGAGGTGGCGAAAAATGCGAATCAGAGCATCGTCGGGCAAGTCCAGGAGCACAAGTTGTCGGGCTAAGGAACAACGACACCCGCGAGGGACATGTGCCAACAAAAGTTGAGGAAACGGGGGGAGTCATTTCGAGATGTCGGCATGAAGCTCAGATGTGCCACACACCTGGCGTCTCATCGGCCTCACAGTCCATTGTGATGGTGAAAGAGCCGGCAGAAGGCGCCGGCGCTCGAGCGACCGATGATTTGGGAGGCCGACTTGCCCGTGCAAGC